CTGCTCAGAGGAAGCAGCAGCAGCAGCAGCAGCAGCTCGGGACTTACCAGAAATGCAGAATCCTGTGCCTCCCACGCCACCCCATCTTTTGCAAGTGAGAAACCAGCATGTTTTTTGATAAGCTCTCCCAGGTAACTGACATGCCCATTAATGTTTACAAAGCAGTGGTCTAGAACAGAAAGTCTTACATGAAGAACAATTATTTCTGCATTTGTCTACGCTTAATTTGTGTTCACATGCTATTTAGGTAACTGTGTATTTTATAAGATCCTTTGGATTTTCATTACATTTGAAAATGCATTTGATCTGAGATACCTAGTAGTAGCAGCCATAGTTGTTAGTATCTTCTGAAAATGTACCATGTGTCAAACACTCTCTGAAGTGTTCATGTACTATTTAATTCTTACAACCACCCTGAAAGGCAGATATTATTTTCACATGAGAAACTGAGGTACAGAGACAGAAAATTAACAAGGTCATGGGGATAAGAAGTTGCCAAACCAGGATGCAAAGCTAGGCAACCTGGTTCTAGAGCAGATGGGCTAACCCTGATGCCCTGAGGCTCCTCTTAGTTCACTCCACTCCAGCAAACATGTGCTTTGCAACAAGAGATGGTTTTGTGTAAATGTGACTACACGATCAGGTGCCAATTAAGGGAATGCCAACTAATCATAGGACCTGTGGAAAAGTTTAATTTCACTGTGTACTTCTCTCTGGATTCAGAATAAATGATCTCATAAGCCTAGTTCTAGGTCTATAATTTTGGTAGTATAAAAGAAAAGTTCCCCTGTGTCTACCAAATACAAAAAATTAGCTGGGAGTGGTGGTGCGTGCCTGTAGTCCCAGCTACTTGGGAGGCTGAGGCAAAAGAATCGCTTGAACCTGGGAGGCGGAGGTAGCACTGAGCTGAGATCGCATCACTGCATTTCAGCCTGGGTGACAGAGCGAGACCCTGTCCAAAAAAAAAAAAAAAAAGTTCCTTTGGGGCTGCCTCCCTAATTCCTATACTTCAACAGATACATTTCGAAAGCAGTTTTCAACATGCATTTCCTAGAACCCTGGGGTCCTTCACAGGTGCCTCCAGAGCCTAAGTAGTTGTTCTCGCCAACCAGCCCACCCAGCATTTTAATGTCAATGAATTTGTATGCCGGAGGTTAAAATTACAATACAGTTAACAAACAAACTACCATTGTTTTAAAAAGTAACAGATTGGAAAGCACTGATTTTGGTTTGGCTGACCACGTACACTAGAGATTCTTTTTGGACACTTCATCATAATAACTGTGGATATACAAACTAGAAATAGTATAGCAATGAAGTTAATCTTTTTTTTTTTTTCCACTTTGGCATGTGGTATCTTTTTTCCCCTGATAATCTATATGCTTCCAAAAATATTATATAATATATATTTCTTCATATGTATTTGTTCTAATCCACTTTTTAAAATGTTTTTGAAAACTTCAGTTGAAAACTATGCAATATTCTGAAATCCCTATTTTCAGAATAGATTTAATATTTAGAATATTGCTACATTATTCAAATATTCATTTCTCATAAAAAAATACTGGAAGGTTTTTAAACCTAGTCAATTAAATAAAGTGTAAATGTTTACAGTGTTTTGGGGGAATAATTTTATTTATCTATTTGAGACAGGGTCTGGCTCTGCTGCCCAGGATGGAGTGCAGTGGTGCAATCTTGGCCCACTGTAACCTCTGCCTCCTGGGCTGAAGCCATCCTCCCACCTCAGCCTCCCAAGTAGCTAGGACTAGAGGTGTGTAGCACCACACTCGGCTAATTTTTGTATGTTTTGTAGAGATGGGTTTCACCGTGTTGCCCAGGCTGGTCTCAAACTCCTGAGCTCAGGCAATCCACCGCCTCGACCTCCCAACATGCTGGGACTTCAGGCATAAGCCATGGTGCCAGCCAGGTTAATATCATAAACTTAAAATGTACACACTTAGCCTGGTATTTGTCGAAATTTTCTTACTGAGCCATTCCTGCAGGTGCATACATGGAGGTTCACTGCAGCATTGTTTATGGGTACCTACCCAAAGGCAATGAAATCATTATATCAAAAAGATACCTGCATTTGTGTGTTTACTGCAGCACTACTCACAACAGCAAAGACATAGAATCAACCTAAGTGTCCTTCAATGGAGAAATGGATAAAGACATTCCTTTTGGGTGGGTACCCAGTTAGTGGGATTGCCAGGTATTTTTAGTTCTTTGAGAAATCTCCATACTGTTTTCCATAAAGGCTGTATTAATTTTTTTTTTTTTTTTTGAGATAGAGTCTCACTCTGTTGCCCAGACTGGATGGAGTACAGTGGCACGATCTCGGCTCACTGCAACCTCTGCCTCCTGGGTTCAAGCTATTCTCCTGCCTCAGGCTCCCGAGTAGCTGGGATTACAGGTGTGCGCCACCAGGTCTGGCTAATTTTTTGTATCTTTTAGTAGAGATGGGGTTTCACTGTGTTAGCCAGTATGGTCCTGATCTCCTGACCTTGCGATCCACCCGTCTCGGCCCCCCAAAGTGCTGTGATTACAGGCATGAGCCACCATGCCCGGCCAAAACAATGTAATTTTTAAACAACTGCATGGAATCTGTTTTATAGATGTACATGATTTATTCAGTCACTTCTTGTGCGGGGCATTTGTTTTTTTCCTCCCCTAACCTTTCCCTGGCCCATCTTGCCCCAGTCCTGATTTTCCTTTTCTAAACAATGCTGCAATGAACCTCCACGTATGCACCTGTAGGAATGCTTCAGTAAGAAAATTTCATTATCCATGGAATACCACTAAGTCATAAGCAAGAATAAAATCGTGCATTTTGCAGCAACATGGGTGGAACTGGAGGTCACTATCCTAATTGAAATTACTCAGAAACAGAAAGTCAAATACTGAGTGTTCTCACTTATAAATGGTAGCTAAACAATGGGTACACATGGACATATGGAATGGAATAATAGACACTGGAGACTCCAAAATGTGGGAGTCTGGAAGTGGGGTAAGGGTTGAAAAATGACCTATTGGGCACAGTCCGCTATTCGTGTTACGGGTACACTAAAAACACAGACTTTACTTACCACCACGCAATACATGCAGGTAAGAAATCTACACTTGCACCCCAAAATATATCAATATAAAAAAATTTTAAGTTCCTTTCATCAGTTTTAAGAGATCCTAGATTGTAAAATGTATCTTGATATAATAGATGTTAAAAATTGGGAAAAATACCTGTGGACATGGTTATATATCATAATTATCAGACGACCCCAATCTCAGGGATGCTGAAGTGCAAAATATAAAGCAAAGTGTAGCTTAGATCAACGATACAGACTTCAGTTATAAACACTGTTGGATATAAATATATTAATATACAGCAATGGCTAATATAAATACATAGTGATAATTAAAGTGTAGGAAAATGCTAGGATGATAAAACCCAACTGTCAAAAGTGAGTGTCTTCAAGGAGCAGAGTTCAATTGTAATGGCGTAGGTGGAGGGGAATATAACCTCTTTGACTATTTTAATACTTTAGGAGGAATACATGTGATTTGTGGAAAAAAATCAGACAATGAAAAACCACTGCATAAGTAAAAAAGATTTGAGGTAGTATAGCATTGTGAGAAAATGACTCAAAAGCCTCACTGCACTCACATTAACTTAGTGATTTCACTTTTGTCTCCCCGTGGCATCTGCTTTCAGGGCCCGAAACAACTAGTAAAGCTACTAATTAGCCCCTTGCTCTACCTACATCCTCCCAGCCCTTGCAACAACCCAAGACATGTAGACGCCTCCATTTTACAAATGAGCTGTACAGGGTGAAGTTTTTTTCCCCGGTTATGCAGCTGCTATGGCAGTGCTGGATTCCAGACTCAGCGCCATCTGGCCCCAGACCTGCCCTCTCTCCAATTCTGGGCTGCTATCACTGCCATCTAGTGCTTTGTGTATTTGCTCTTTATCCTTGGCTATTCATTTTCTTCTTACGGGAATTCCCAATTATTTTCTCTTTCATGCTACATTGGTTTTCAGTTATTTCTAAGCTGGAAAGCTAATTTATTATATAGCTTGAAAGAAATATTCTAATTGAATTCACTAAAAATTAATGCATTTCCTCTTTTCAAGCAATTTTTCCCCTCGACTGTTCTGAGAATATATTTACAATAAACTCCTTTGCTTTCTACTTGCACATGATCCTTCTAGCTTTAACAAGTCAACTTTACAAAAGGATATACTGAACACATTCGAGCGCTTTCCTTTAATGAGAAGGCGCTATGATGGTAAAAAGGGAAATTGGCAGTCAGTGCACAACTCAATGGTCACCAGACAGCCCAGCCAGGAAGCGCGAAGCCAGCACCTTCCAGGCCTCCTTCAACCTGGGAGATGGGATGAAACTGGGAGCTTAGCCTGTCTCATCTTTTCCAGTTGGCCAAAGGTTTAAACCCAGATAGATCTAGAACTTGAAAGGAAAGGAGATTTGTTGAAATATTTCTTCGATTACTTTCTAAACCCTTCTCTTTTTGTTCTAACCCGTTTCTTATATCTCCATATACAGAGGTTGACATGAAAATTTGGACTTTGACCTACAGTGATTTTCTACTGTCTCTAATATATGTTTTGGTCTAAGTAGAAACTGTTAGGAATGAGAAGAATTGTAGTAAAAAATGAACTGCCAGGAAATATAAATTCTAAGCCTATGCCACTGATTGCTAAGTTATGTTTCTTTGGGTCATTTATCATTCACTGGGGAAATGGAATGAGGGTTTCAAAAATTAATGACAGGGTCGGGAATGGAGGTAAACCAGGAGCAAAATGTTTATGCAATCCTGACACACACACACACACACACACACACACACACACACACACACACGTAATGAAAGTAAGATATCACGAATGAAGGCGAAGATATGCAAGAGAAACGTCAGGATGCAAAGGAGGTGAGATGAACTTGTCCCCAAAGGCCTCCTGCAGAAGGAACTGGATATGGGCTCACCTGAATCCTTCATGGGGCAGAGGGCACACTGCATGCCCCAGGCCTCTCCATAGAGACAGCAGCACTCAGTGTACGTCGTCTGCTTGCCCACAAGAGGCCGGCTACACACGTACTCATCACTCAGATGTTCCCAGCACAAATCTTGGTAGACATCAGTTTCTTCTATTTGTTCTGAAAGGGAAAACATAGTTCCATCAAAATTGCACAGTTATTCCTATTTATAAACACTGTGTTGGAAGCCAGCAAGTCTCCAAGCTTCCATCTCTATTTCTAAGAGTGACTTCTAAGTAAAAGTCTGAATCCAGTCTGGTCTTTGAATGGATCAATTCTCTGTCATCTCCAACTGGGTGTCATTCCATCAGCTGAAATTCCACCTGCCCATCCGGTCCCAACACAATACTTCTCTCTACAGCTTCCTACTGTTATATACAATGCCCACTATTTTGCCTGTCCGTCATAAGCCTGATGGGCTTCTCACTCTTCTAATCTTCACTTTTTCATTTACTCCTGTGAAACCCTACCATTTCTTTCCACGTACCAGTTATTGAATTCTTGCCTTCTCATCCATTTAACCTGCCAAAGCCCTGGACCAGTGACACTTCATCCTAGAGTCTTTAATTCCTACCTTTCAACTGACTTCATCCAAAGCAGTCTCCTGAGGCGAATGATGGATGATGCCAATTATCAGCGGCTTTTTGCCAATTATCAGTAGCATCAGGGATGACAGGAGTTTCTGTCCGTGGACTTCTGGGCCCTCCACCACCTTGTTGAACTCCACCCTCTGCTCTGCTGAGCCTTATCCACTCCCTCCACTCTGCTAAGCACACCTAATTATCTTTTCCTGAATTACATTTCCCTCAGCCATGGAACAACCCTGCCATCTGCTCAGCCACTCCATGGTCCATACTTAATGAGTATGTCCAGGCTATTAAATCTCTTGCATACTGATGATATGCATCTTATTATTATTTCTGTAAGTATCTCATTTTAGTTATTTCAAAATACCCAAGGAATTCATTTTTTCTATTTTCCAGTGGTTCACAATTTTAGTTAAAAGGAAAACCTTCTGATATTTATTTGGACACAGGTTTGCATCTCCTGGAAACATACCGTTTGACTCAGCCGGTCTTATACATCTTTTTTCTGATGCATCCAGGACCATGGGGTGAGTACAGAAGCAGTTGTAAGAGCCCTCTGTATTAACACACTGGCCATCAATACAACTACTGGGGTCTTGACATTCATCCATATCTTAGGAGAAAAAAAATATTACTAAAGAAAATCAGCCATCAGTTGAACCTCATACACTTACCAAACTTTACCCATTGCTCTATTTTAGTCCAGATTCCAGGGGCTGCCGCTTTTAATTAACCACACATTATCATCCAAAAGAGAGCGGCTCTGACTATAAAAATGTAAGCTGCTCTGACTGAAAAACAACATTGCTGCTGCTGCTGACATTACATAAGGAAAGAAAACATCCATGAACAGGATATGCTTAGAAATTTAAGATAAAATGGCTCCTTATGATAACTTTTAAAATTATTTCCTTTTGCTATGTTTTTCTGCCTAGTATATATGGTTTTCTGCTTAAGCATTAAGGTCTGGGTCAGTATTTAAAATGGCTCTCACTTGCACAGTATGAGTGATGAAACAGGAGGTGCCACAGACCAAAAGAACACTTCAGTTATACCAGTGGCCTGAATTATAATTCCACAGTGAATATTAACTCTTTGTTTGAAATACATTCAAACAGTAGTATGGAGGTGGGTTTTTTTTATTTTCTTAAATTGTGCTTAAGAAACAGATCCCTAAAACATTTACACATCTTTTCAACATATGATTTAGATTCAAGGAAATTGTTTTTACTACATAGCATAGTTATTTTTTCCATGTGTATATTTTCACAGTACACCATACTATATCCCCTTAAAGCTTACCAAAGCACTGCAGTTTCACAGGATCGTAGTATGTCCCTTGCTTACAGTAGCATTCATACCCAGGCCGAGTGTTCAAACAGAAACCATTTTTACAGATTTCTTGTCCAAAAAGTAGGCATTCATCTGCATCTATTGGGAAAAAATTGAGAAACACAAAAAGAAGTTAGGCTTGATCTTTCAATTAAAAAGAGTATAACCAGATTTGGGGCTTTAAGTTAGATATTATAATATTTATATTCCAAAGAATCCTACAGAAATAGCAATGTAATATTCTTAAAATAAGGCCTAATTGGCAGGCATAAAAACATAAACAGATGTAGTTTGTCTGTGATATTTGAGAAGCAATGGCCAAACCATTATTGGAGAAGTGTATTTGTAAATATGGTTTCTCAGATGCTACCTCATATTTGATGAAATGGTCTATGGTTCCATAGGGGCATCAACAGAAGGATATATACCTTTTAAGAAATGTGTTCTGTAATGTATGTTCTGGCCCATTCACTAGTTGAGATGTAGAAAGTTTCCAAGAAGGTTTGGTGGAATTTGAATGCAAGTCTTTCTTGACAAAAGAAAGCACAAGTTGCTAAGGGGGTTAGCAGACCCATTCCCCCACAGAATTAACAGCTTCACTATCTCAGTTTACTCAATGATAAATTAGAGACAACAGGAACACCTACCTAATAAGAGTGGAAGGATGAAATGAGATACTCCACGGACAGGACTCAGTATATACTCTGGCATAAGCAGAGACTCAAAAGTGTTATCTAATGCTTTGACTGTTATTATTAGCATTAGTTCTAGCATTTTAGAGCTAATGTCATCTATTCCTCATTTTATAACCTGAAGACTCCACAGAGGATTTGCTTAAAGTTACACAGATGGAAAATGGCAAAGCCAAGCCTAGAACATATGGCTGGTTGGATCTAAATCCAATCTTCTTCCAACCATTAACAGCACTGCTAAAATAGGAAGAGGAGGAATTTATTTTCATATAAAAGAGAAGATGAATTTATGGTGAAATCAGAGCTCTGTACCTTAATATGAAGTGAGATTTAACTACATCCCTGCAAAAACATAGTAATGTATATTTGTGAATTTGGAAACCATTCAACGCGTATTATAAACCAAGTCTTCTCGTTATTTAATTGGACCAAATCATAGATGTCTTTAAAAAAAAACACAAATGGAATTTCTTATCCAGCTACTGAATTATACCATATTATTCAAACACTAGTTTTCCAAAAATTGACAATAAAAATGCTTTTATAGTCTGTTTCCCAGCTACTTAGCAGTCTTCAGTATTAAACTATAAAGGAAAAAAATCACTTCGTATATAAAAGGTAATATCTCTATCATGAAAATGTCAAAAGTGAGTGGTTAATGAGGAAATATTCATACATGTGGATATTCACCAAAATTAAAAGGCTGCCCATTTATTTTAGAATTATATAATAGTAGCATTAAATATATAAAACATGTCTACTCTGGTTGTCTTCTCTTCCATTTCTCATTGTGAACTTGTGGCCACTGGTAAAAGGCCCCACAACAGTAGGATAAAGTCTAAAAATACAAGAACCTTAGCTTTGTTGATGACCATAAAGACAAATAGTGGTCAAATTTATATGATCATAATTTATATGATTTCTATTAAGCATCTAGAATAAAATATTTAGTAAGTATCTACTAGGTACAGAATTTGTTAAGTACTTTCAGATATATTATCTTATTTAATCCTTATCATAACCTTTGAGAAATTATTCCTATCTCAGGGATGAAGAGATAGAAACTCAGAAGTTCACCTCCCAATGTCTACTTCCCAGCATCATCCAGTTTGTGTTTTGACTCCAAGTCCATGGGGACTTTCTTTTAATGGTAGAATTAAGGACTTTGTAATCAGTTTTCATGACTAAAAAGAACTCTAATTCTGTGAAACCCAAGCCATGCATTCACTTGAGTATCTCACATGTACACAATGTGTTGAAAATTTGTTTCCACTTGATTCTGACCTTTATAGTTCTCACCACCAGCTTCGGAGGAGGATTCTCCAGCAGGCACAAAACCTTTCCCTTTGGGACACATCTCAGTGAACTCAGCTGATTTTAGAAGAGACAAAACCAAGAAAAGAAATAAGTTGAAAAGAAAAAAAAAAGAATCAACATCTTCCATGAATGCATGTTTCAAGTTCAGTTTTGCTTTCTCAGACTCGGTAACTTTAAGGCAATGGCAGCAAATAAATTTAGTACAATCTCAAAAAATTATGGATTAAGTGCAAAGAAATCTAATGACTTCATAATTTTCTTACACTTTTTAATTAAAAAAACCTCCAAGTTCACTCATATTTTCTTACTCATGCTTTACTTGATACTATAACTATTATTTTTCCACGACTGTGATGTCTAGTTTCTTAAAGGTTTAATAAGAATCAATTACACATAATCTTAGCTTCAATACACAAACTTTAGTTACGAATAATGCTGTATCATTATTAGCAGCAAAGACTGATTTTAATTTTAAAGTGGAATAAAACTGAATTAACTTTCTGCCAAAATATCACACAGAACCTGAGTGTCACAGTACACTCTGATGAAGAGAAGTTCAAGGATTCATATTAAGATGGGATGCAGGTGCTGGCTCTAGCAATGAATGAAACTCACTATATGGTAAGTCGCCTTGAGTTGGCTGTGGGAGTGAGTGTCCTCATTTCGAGGCCCAGGGATACCATATGACCAAACACAAGTGTGACTCAACAACTCAGCAGATTCTTACCAGTTCCCAAGACCGGGCAGGGGAAGATTTCACAGTTATCTCCCCATCCCGCACCCGATGTACAGCAGCATTCTTGTTTTGTGACATTGGGGGACAACACATTATCACAGAGACTGGCGTCATTGAGATTATAGTAGCATTCTTTCTTTTCTTCTTTGGGTTGTTCTACATCTAAATCTAAATGGAGTAGAGAAGGTAAAGAGTGACAATAGGACACATCAGAACTACCTAACACAACTCGTAGAGAATGCAATGGGTGAAAGAGTGACCGTGTCAATAGCATTTGCTTTATAGAAAATGCTTTCCACTTTCAGTGTCAGATTCTTCCACTTTGAGATAAAAATGCACTTGAATCCTGAGTTTTGGTGGAATTCTAACATACCCCAAGAGTGTAAATCTGTCAAAACCATTTCCTTTTACGTGAACCAATAATTTTATTATTGTAGATTTGGCTGTGAGTAGAGTTTCCATATCTGCTTTTCTTGCCAAACATAGGGCCATTTGTTACTGAGCTATAACACCTACTTAAATCAATAAAAATTTTCCCCAACACTTGACCAGGGGTCTGAGCCCACACATAATATTTAACCCTTAGGTAGTTATTTGAATCAACCATGCTCCCAATCTCTTCTGAAGACTGCACAGAAGAAGATAACTAGGAAAATACTGCTGTAACCTGGAGCCTATTAAATAACCTTTCATCACTGAAAATCTAACTACTTAAATTGTTGCAAATACATGACTTCGAATGAAACAATGAGTGCCAGCCCAGCCTCAGGGTAGAATTTCAAATCTGGGTTCTAGTCCCAGCTCAAGTACGTCCTAGAGGGAAACATATTCTAACAGATTCAGCTTAACCCTCTGTGTGATAAAACATGAACGAGATGATGTGAAAGAATACAAACGATAAGAACAAAATCCACCCACTTTCAGATAAGGAAACAGATTGAATTCGATCAGATATGAAGTCTTTGAACAAGTCTGTGCTTTTAAAAAATGATCACTATTTTGTGACTAGACTTGGAAAGTAGTCACACCCCTTCTCTCCTGTATGCTATAGAGTTCAAATTACTGCCTATGATCCAGTTTGAGTTTATTAACTGTTTTTATTTAATGCGACATCAAATAAGAAGCTGACTACCGTCATAATAATTACTTAGATTAATTCTAATGAAATATTGTCACTAGAACTCTACTATTTCCAGATTCTTGGACTCAAACTGTAAGGTCAAAAGGAAGACATTTACTGGTGAGTATAAGAGTTTAATGTCCGCACATACTTACACTTACCTTTGTTTTGAAGTTAGTAGATAATTATATGAGCAGGGAAATTAAATAAATTATTTTTACAATATCTTCCTATATGTTTATTTTGGCAGGGCCTAGTTGACAGTGGGAATTTTATTGATATATTAAATAGTAAATGTGTTTCTAAAATATAAACTCATAAAATTCTATCAGAAAAGCTACTGCCCTTTCTTTCCTCTTCTGGCATTAAAAGCAAGCAAAGCAGCAAACAAACCTCGGAAATATACACTCCTCTCAGAACACAGGGTATCAGTGAGACTATAAAGATCCCTCATCTAGTTGATTCTGGCCAATTCTCTGATTATTTTGTCTTTGACAGATTTCAGTTTGGACAGTAAGTTAGCATTAACAGCTGATGACAAATGTAGACCTAGAACAAGTGTCCAGGAAAAAACTCAAATGCTGATTTCTATGCAGCAGTTTATGAAGTGGTTTTAAATCATTTCCTCGTGTGTGAAATTGGGTAAAATCTGCCACTTCCCTCATCTGGTCTAGCTTGCTTCAAGTGTGTAGAGGACTGAAATTCACTTTGTGCACTCTTAACGGAAGGGATCTTTGTTAGAAGGGCCTCCAAGCTCTTAGATATGGAATTACTTGGGAAAACTAAGAGTACGTATTTTAAATTGTTACTAAATCAATTATGAACCCTATAGAAAATTTTATAATCTCTCCCTCAACACAGTGAATAAATTGTCAGCCTGTTACTACTACCAATTCTGCTCAATTATTTTATTCAGCTGGTCCAAAAATGTAGCTAGCTATTAATAAATAATAGTGAGAAATACAAATCAAAAAAGCAACAGGGTTTTGGTAATCAGGTTTATTCTATGGTCTGTGCTAAAAGAAGGCTCAATTTTTTTCCCCCTCATGTACAAAGTTGTAAGTATGTCATGGTGTTTATTACAAAATGGAATACTTTGTAATAAGGCCTCAGTGAAGATTATACTCACAGGTAATTAGAAACTATAGGCTTCTCTTGAGTCAAAGCATGTCAAAATTTATAAATATATATGAATTTAAAATCTGAAATATATTTATATATAATTTTATGTATTTTAAACACACACACACACATACATAGACAAATACATATATGATAAACATTGTTTTGTTTACTAAAATGTTTCTTACACTCACATCATAAAAACTAAGAAATAAAATAATCTTTGCCTTTTTGGGGAAAGAAGCAGATTACTTCCCATAAGGGAAATAATCAACAATATAATTATAATTATTCAGGTTTTACACTGGTTGTGAAAAGTTTTGGTCTTATTTTCTAAGACATTTGAAAGTTCAATGTTTATACAGCTGAAACTGAGGGTTAGTCAGGCCCTCATCTGTGTTTGGAAAGAAATTCAAATTCTTTTTAAAAAAGTAGTCCACAAAGGTCATTCTGGGAAAAGCTACAATTTCCCTATCTTCCTAGTCTTTAAGTAATTAACTTCCTAGAGCATTTTTCCACTGGGATAAAACTCTGGTCAGTAAATATGTGATAATGTAATTTCTTAAAGAAATTCTTATAAGAGTTTAGTTCATTGCTGCCAGGGGTGGAGGGTTTTTATATTGGAAACTAATTTTAAAAGATCAAATCAATAGTTATAGAAAGTGCCAAGCATTAAAAAAAAGAATCTTCTTTTTCTTAAAGATATTATGAATAAGATTAGCTGTACTACAAATCTCATGCCAGACTTCTAAAAAAATATGAATCCTCCTTCAGACTTCTAAAAAATATATTAATCCTCCTTCAGTATTTTCAGATTTGAGTTTTCAATTTGCATTAAGAGGTTGGCTTCACATTTGCATAAAAAGATCAAGTTTTTCATATTTTATTCTAGAGGTGTGGCCGGTAACAAGAAAGTTTGGTTTTGGACATTTTGTATGTTTTTTTCTGAGGGAACTTTTACAGAGGACTTTTCATGTGATCCACAGGGTGACTATATGAGATAGAAGGTGCTGGTAAATACAGAGTCCTCAATTCCCAGAAGAGAAAACTAATGTCGGTTCCAAGTGGCCTATGTCTACTGCTTTCCCCAAAACCCTTCTTTGGAGCTCAGGTTCTTATCTCACATAGCATGGGTTTGTTCTGCTTTGCCCTTTATTCTTTGTGTGTTTTTTTTTGTTTGTTTTCATCTTTGAGATAAATGGGAAGAGGGACACAGATAATCTCTGCTGCTGGGGGTTCAGCAACAAGGCCACAAATAGTGCAATCATGTCCCCTGGCTCTGATTAGGAAGGAGTAGGTTTGAGCTGAAGACACCACCTATAAAGAGCCCTTTCTGGGAGCTCCTCCTGTCTTGGTTCATCAGCCTAAAGAGGGTGTGGGCCATTTGCTTGTAGGGCCATTTCCACCTTTAGTCTTTCCCCATAAATGTCTAATCTAAGGAATTACTGTTGGGATGAGAAAATCTACAACATGTAGTTGGTCAAAGTGGATATGAGCTTTTTAAATGGGCTCTCCCTTTCCATTTACAATGTGTTCTGAAGGTTTTTATGAGCTAATCTTCTCTGAACCTTTTTGGAACAGTCAGAATTACTACAATGACCCAAGAGTAACACTGCTAATACACATGAATAAATAGTTACCCCCAAAGAAACAGCTGCCTGTAGTCCTGAAAAGAGATCAATAGATAAAACTCTGTGCGTGTGATGATGTTCAATAAATTACTTTCAGCAGAATTACCCAGGGCACTTTATTTCCTTTCTTATTTTAAAAATGCTACAGGCATTATTGTTTTCAGTGAGAAAGAATTCTTTAATATTTCAAGGAGACATAAAGGAAAACTTAGAAATTCATATGCTTTGTTTTGCGTTTTCTCATACAAGAACTTGGAAAATTAGAAATGTGTTTTTCTTTTTTTCTTTTTTTTTGAGACAGAGTCTCACTCTGTTGCCCAGGCTGGAGTGCAGTGTTTCAATCTTGGCTCACTGCAAGCTCCGCCTCCTGGGTTCACGCCATTCTCCTACCTCAGCCTTCCAAGTAGCTGGGACTACAGGTGCCCGCCACCATGCCCGACTAATTTTTTGTGTTTTTTGTAGAGACGGGGTTTCACCACTCAATCTCCTGACCTTGTGATCCGCCCGCCTTAGCCTCCCAAAGTGATGGGATTACAGGCATGAGTGACCTTGCCCGGCAGACATTTCTGACCTTAAAGCTTGAAACTTAACATTTGTCTTATCTGAGTTCCTTTCTCAGGAAATGACCTTCAGGCCTCTTAAAAAAAGTATCAAAGAACTGAAACTCACCAGATCACTACATCCTGACATGAGATGCTGATCCCTGATTCATCATGATTGCTTCCCTGTCCCTCCCTTGCTCTTGTTTTCTTACACATTGTTACATTTCTTCCCTGTTACATCCATCAGGGAAGTGGATTTGAGACTGAACTCCCATCTCCTTGGCCCTAGCACTCAATTAAAGCCTTCTTCCTTGGCAATACTTGTAGTCTCAGTGATTGGCTTTCTGTGCAGTGAGCTAGAACCTAGACCAAACCCCTGGTGTTCAGTAACAGAAAGTAGATAACTTAAGATGGTAAAACATATCAAAGCAGTCAAAGTGAAGTTTAGAAAAAAAAGCACAAGAGTAAAAACATTTTAAAAGAGGATCTCTCCACATAGTTCTTGCTCTTAAAGAGGTCTTAAGGAGTGAACTGGAGGCTTCACTCTCAGGACACACACACACACCTAGGCCTCACTGCACAGGGATGGGTACACAGGGATGGGTAGACAAGGCTATCAGGGAAGATGCCTGGTGGAGCTGACATCTAGTGAAGGCATTATAAGAGAATGGAGAAAATGAGCCAGGGACAGTGAGAGGGTGAGGAGAGGAGAAAGTTGGGGATATTACTATAGAGTGGAAAAGCAGGGAGAAG